ATAGTATCTGTTTTTCTTCCCAAAATTAAATTTTTAAACAATAATAATCTACAAACAAGAAAAACTAAACAAAAACAACCTCAAATCCTTGTTGAACAACATTTTGTTTGAATACACACATTGGGCCTCATGCAAGAACATGTTCGTATTCTTATCCTAAATTTCTCTTACTTTTGTTCTCACGAAGGGTTTGTACGAACATGCCACGTCAGATTCAACAAACTCTTCTATCTTCAGGAARRGTGTGTAAATGAGCTGCGTAAACTGATGAATGCATATCCAGCTGCTCGTGCACGGGGAGAGGTGATTTACGTAATTAACACCCCAAAAACACCATATAAGGATATACGTTTCCTGCCACACATACCAGGAAGTGTCCATTCATAAGTGACATTGCAAAGTAAAAAAAAAGAACTTTACGAGTTTGGAGATCGAAGTTCTTCTCTCGGAGATCCACAAAAAAAAGTAATATTTAGCAGCGTCAGCTGTAGAATTAAAGGATCTGCTTTAAAGCCGAGGAATGAAATGACCGCTGTCGTGTCTCCTGTGGGTCGTACAGTCACAGAAATAAAAATCTAAATCATATTTATCTCTCTCTGTAGTCCTGCTCCAGTTTTTCAACGCAGCCTGCTGGTTTCTTCTTTAGATTTTTCTTTTTATGTACAGTGCCCTGAGACAACGTACTGTATGTTGTGACTTGGCACTATATAAATAAATAAACTTGAACTTGAACTTCAAATATTTTTAATTTCACACAGTAAACAACTGTGTTACATAGGTTTAATTTATTCAGAAGAGCAATCGCGCACCGCAACAGGTGCATTTCTGAAAAAAAAAAGCTTTTTAAAATGTCTCAAAACTTCAGTTAACCTCATATTAATATTGTAGCGCTACAACAAAATTAAAAGCCAATTTATTTTAATTCAACCAATGTATGTCGTCTCATAGTTCTTGGGTCGCTTCTCGTAACCAATCACAGACTCTACAAGATCCAGACTCTTCCCTCGGCCGCGATGGGTCTTGTCTCGCGCTGCTGTCAGAGGCCCGCAGCAGACAGGCTCAGTATGACGGCCTGCTCATCGATGCCAGGCCTGCCACCACGCAGAGCTACATCTACATCCACAAGACGGAGGAGAACGGCGAGATACGCCACACCTTCTGCTACTGTGTGGAAACGGACCGGTGGAAAGAGCTGCGAACGCAGAGGGGAGAGGGCGCGGCTCCCATGCCGGATCCACCAGGGACCTATCTTACAAGTTATGCAGAGAAGGTACATTTTGGGACAGCTTGCTAAAACATTTTTACTGTTTTGGCTTGTGACCTTTAAAGTGCCTGTGACATGGTTTTTCTTCAATTACAAAAAATTAAAGAACATATCCTAATATTTTAGAAATTGGGCATCATTCATATGATTTTTACCCAGTTTGTCACAAAACATGCATTTTTTTTTGCTAAATTTGGTGCAGTCTAAGTGAAACAGGAAGTGATGTCAAAGGGGAACTCTTTAAAAAAAGGGTAACTTCCTGGTCTTTATAAATCTGACTCTTTTTTATCTATCTAATAATGACTCAAAATAATCCACAGAAACATCAGATTCTCTGCAGTCGGTTGTTAGCCGTTGTAACAACTCATTCAGGCATTCCCCTTTGACATCACTTCCTGTTTCTACTCATGCGAATATCTCAACAACTATTCATGAATTTCTGTTTGCAATTCATCATTAATGTTATCTTTCCAAATATGCACTCAAATATATCATTTAAATTTAATGTCACAGGCACTTTAAAGAAGTCAACGTATTGATCTCAATAATAACAGTGTTGTATAAAGTACCTCAATGTGATACTTGAGTAAAAGTACAAGTATCTTATCATAAAAATACTTTGGTAAAAGTTAAAGTATTCTCTAAAAATATTACTTAAGTAAGTAAAAGTCTTAAAGTATCTGATATTTTTTGTACTTAAGTATCAAAAGTAAATTTCTGACACAAAATCTTCTTAAGTATTAAAAGTAAAAGTACTGCGTAAAAGTGAGCAGTTAGATTTTCCTAAATGACATTTATTGGCAGGTGACTTCTCCAAAAAAAAATTTTTTTAACGGCATGCAGCTGTGATGGGTTGTGTACAAGCTAATAGGGTGTCAGAATGGTATATATTTATACTTCTCATCCAACCACAACTAAATTCACTCTATCCAGGAGACACAATTTAAGGATAGTATATATTTTAAGTAATAAGAACTTGGAATAAAATAGGAGTAACGACTTTCTACTTCTTCCCTTTTTAAAAAATGTAGTGAGTAGAAAGTACAGATAATTGTGTAAAAATGTAATGAGTAAAAGTAAAAAGTAGGCTGAAAAATAATTACTCAAGTAAAGTACAGATAACTAAAATTTCTACTTAAGTACAGTAACAAGAAATTTGTACTTAGTTACTTTACAACTCTGGATAAAAACTAAATCATTCCTTTTTTTAAAAGTAAATCAAAGAAAATTAGGGGCGACACAGATTCCAGGTGTTCCTGATGCTGAAGACTGAATGTGAATAGGATTTGTTAAACATACCTGCCCTCCCACATATCCAAGATGTTTGTCATAGGTGGTTGTCGGGGGAACTGTTGCCGGGCGATTCGCCTCCACGTTGCAGAACTGTACCACGATGCCACTGACGAGGTTTGGTGTTTCTGTCCTGTGACCCTAACCTGCACTCCTGCACCGGCCATGCTGAAGCCCAGGACCATGCACACGGCTGTCACCTGCCTGGACCGAGTCTATGTGATTGGAGGGCGGACCAAGGGRTCCAGAGGCGAGGCCCCCAGTCTTCTGGAGGTGACATTGGTTTGATTGTAAATCATTTGATTCTAAAATTTAGAAAAGTGTTTTTTTTTGTTTGTTTATTTACATAAACACCACATTCATTTCTCTGTCGCATGTCAGGTGGAGTATTACAACCCTCTGAGCCAAACGTGGAGCTCTGTCAGCCCTCTGCCCACTGCCATCTTCTATCCAGAGGCCAGTGCTTGTGGGAACATCATTTACACCTTGGGGTCCGAAGTGGAGATCACAGACTCCTTTAACCCCTCGCTAGACTGCTTCCTCTGCTACGACACCCGGCAGGACCAGTGGAGCCGCCTGGTGGCAGAGTTCGGACAGTTCTTCCACGCCACGCTGGTTAAGGCTGTGTCCATCAACAACACGCTGCACCTCTGTGACCTGTCCACATATAAGGTGAGCCGTCAGACAGGTGGGGTCAAAGCAGTGCATTGTGTAGTTTATAAACACAGTGAAATGAAAGATGATGTTGTTTTACAGGTTTACAGTTTTTGCCCAGAGACAAACGTCTGGAAGGGTGAGGGGTCATTTGAATGTGCGGGCTTCAACGCTGGAGCTGTTGGTGTGAGCGACAGGATCTACATTCTAGGTGGAGACTATTCCCCTGATGAGATCACTGATGACGTTCAGGTAAACTTCTGTTGTTTTAAAGGGATCCATGATTTGTTATAACATTAGACTTTATTTAATAAACATATAATTTAACTGTAAAATAAAGACTGTAAAAATACTATAGGATGTTCAGTTT